ATTGGGGGTCTCTTGTGAGGCTCAGTATTTCTGTGGTGATGGGCCGCTCTTCCATTTGATGTATTCGGTTAGCAAAGTGATGTTTACAGGCCGTTTGGTGTCAACAAGGGAGAGGAGACCAAATAACGCAGAGTTGCCAAATATCGCACATCGGTGTGGGTCAAACTGGTTTCCTATGTATGACTGAACAACATTGGGTCTTATTTATACAAAGGCCTCAGGAAAGAGTCTTTTCAGGCAGAGTCCTTATGACTTTATAGCAGATAGTCAGCTTACCCTTCCTTTTCTTATGCTGCAATAGTAGAGAGAAAAGGAGGATGTAATTGACTAACCTGAACAACACAGGTGGTTGAAAGATGGCTGTAGGCTTTAAGGGGAATTGGTTTTTGACTACTGGAGCACAAGTTTTTTTTTTTTTGTTTTTTTTTGTGGCAGTGACCAGCCATTTGGTCTGCCTAGAAACTGGTAGAGAAAAAGGTTTGATGGGATTGGCCAACGTGAACAACACCGATGGTCTAAAGATGGCTGTAGGCTTTGAAGGGAATTGGACTGTAAGCTCTGAAGAGAATTTGGTTTTCGACCTATTAGATCACAAGTTTTTTGTGGCAGTGACCAGCCATTGGGTCTGCCCAGGAGAGAAAAAGGCTTGATGTGATTGGCCAACGTGAACAACACAGATAGTGAAAAGTTGGATGTAGACTTTGGAGGAAATTGGTTTTCTGGTCTATTGGATTGAGTTGTTGTTTTTTTTTTTCCTGGGAGTGATCAGATATTTGGGTCTGCCTAGTAGCTGGTAAAGAAAGGGAAGATGTAATTGGCTAACAATATACATGGGTCTAAATTTGGTGGTAAGACTTTAAGAATTTGTAGACTTTTGTAAAAAAAAAAAATCTCCAGTTTGTCCTTCCAGTGATTAGCTATTGGGTCCGCCTAGGAGCTGGTAGAGTGAAAGGGTGGATGTGGTTGATTAGCATAAACACATAGTCTAAAATTTGTTTTTAAATCTGTTGAACACAAGTTTGTCCTGCGGGTGACCAGCCATTGGGTATGCCCAGGAGCTGAGAGAAAAATGGAGGATGTAGTTGCCTAATGTGAACCACACATAGTCTAAAGTTGGCAGTAGACTTTATAGAGAATTGGTTCTTAGCCTCTTGTAAAATGTTTGCCATTGGGGGTCCATATGGGAGCTGGTAGAGAGAAAGGGAGTGGTGGTTGGCTAGCACGTGGGATTTGGGTTTCTGTCTTATCGGATTGAGAGTTTCTTGGCAGTTACCAGCTGGTGGCATCCACCCATGAGTACCACGTAGACATGAGATCCTTCTGCAACCATACTTTGCCGCTTGTATTGAAAGTATATCTTATTGTGTTCTTTTTGCTTTTGGAAAAGTAGGGGATGGGTAGAACTAGGGATGCACCGATACCCGGCATTTTTCATGAGCACTACTGCGGTTGCAGCTGGGATCTAGCTCTGGTGCTCCACCACTGTCCTGAATTCATTAGTCTGTATTGGTTTTTTTTAAAACTGTCACATGGCAATAAACAAAAATGCATCAGTACTCGTACTTGTCCCTGCAAAAAATGGTATCGGTGCATCCCTTTTATTTATATTTATAAAAACAAAATCATACATTAAAACAGAGATGTACAAATCCCGGGAGCTCTGTGTGCTCCTTACACATGACAGCTGCCTCCTAACTTTTGACTTTTTCTCTAGTCTAGTCTTGGAGCTCAAAGTATCTGTACTTGTACCGAGTATGGTACTTGGTATCGGTGCATCCCTAGGTAGAACCTTCACAACTCTATCCAATAATAAAAAAAATTACGTTTATGGTAGAGATGGACACTTTTTTGCTGGTGCTGATCCTTTAGGCTTTAGTGCGTTCTGTGTCACTGACCCACAAATATGCAGATTGAATGTTCAAGTGAAGTCAAAAATCCTCGCACATCTTTTATATAAAATATGATGATCAAATATGGACTATCAACCCAAAACCCAGTAAAAAAAAAAAGGAACAATGGTGCGGTCCACGAGGCATATTTGGAAGGCATTCCAGTAATTTAAATACATTCTGTCTTCACCATTTATATACAGAAAGGTGTAAAGAGGTGCAAGTGTAACTGTCTATATGCCCTGTGCCTCCCATATTAGGACAGAAATGTGCTCTCATTTAGCATTGCCTTGGGTGGATCCACAAATAAGCGATTGTACAATACTTTGTGCAACTGTTGTCACAGAGCCAGAGTTATTGGCAACTTCTGCCACTGCTTGCGGTGTAGGAAATTAGGGGGTAGCAGTTAACACCCACTTCTAAATGTATTCTGTTTATTGTTGTATACATAACGTATCCCATTTCATTTTTATCCTGCTGTCTTTATTTATATTCACTAAAGTTCTACATCTGATACCAAGGGCTTTAATCGCCTCTGTGGCCCCCATCTTACACCAGTTTACAGCAATGCAGTTTACTTCCAGGCAGATGTAATATGGTTATAGAAGAGCGTCATATAACAGATGATTGTGCGATGAGAGATTTTAGTAGTGTTGGAATATTAACACGTTTGGGGCTCTGTGACAATGCTGTGTACTCTCAGGAGTCGGTAGACGGTCTATGAGGTCAGGTTGACACTGGGCAGCAACTCTATTGTGCTCGGTGACAGCACTTTGTCTATAGCATGGGTAGGCAATCTCTGCAATCTAGCTGTTGTGGAATTACAAGTCTTCTGAGCTGTTGATAGTACACCTGCAAGCTGCGGAAAAATTTCTTTATTTCTGGATGCGGATCCGAAATTCGGTTCGGGTTTCGGATTCTGACGAAATCCGAATTTTCGTTAGTTCCGGATGAGTTTACGAATATTCTTTGCGAATACCACAGAAAGCCATATACAGATATTAATACTAAAGCTGAATCTCCTAGACCCAAATGACATTCGAGATTCGATTTTCCGAATTGCTTTCGGGAGCTCTCGAATACCATTCGGGTCTGGGAGCCTCAGCATTAGTAATCCATGTATATGGCTCCCAGACCCAAATGGCATTTGGGAGCTCCTGGATGCAATTAGGAAATTCTGATCCTGGGAGCCATATACATATATTACTAAAGCTGAGGCTCCCAGACCCGAATGGCATTCGAGATCCGAATTTCCAAATTGCGTTCGGGAGCTCCCCAATGCCATTCGGGTTTAGAAGCTTTAGTATTTTATATACTGTGTATGGCTCTCATGTTCCCGTGACGAACATTTGTGTTCAGATCCATTCGGATGCTAGGCCTCGAAGTGATGAGTCTGCGGAGCACAGGAGTAAAGGGGAGTATTGAGACCAGAGCTGTGTTTTTCTTATTTCTAGAATATTCTACTCTACTACCTTTTTGTTAAAAATTAAAATTCTACTGGAATTGGGCTTTGTTAGCACAGTTCTATCGCCGTTTTAATGGGATCATATCCTAGACTGTGTATTCCTTGTAGAGGCATGTGCATGCGTCTTAACCCGATCATTCATGGTCATGGACGGAGCCCTAAATCCAATTGATTTTTGCTTGCCGTCCCTTTGTTGTGCCTCCTCGTCTGTATCGATCAAAAGACGAAGGGCAGTCGTGTCGGTTTTACAAAGCGAAATCCATTGTCTCCCATCGTCTTCATTAAGATTCAGGGCTCCCTAGTACTGATTGATTTCGTCTGAATGGTTTTGTGTTTTAATGAGCTGGATTCAATATAGCCAATTGTGTAGAACGGCGGTGGGGACAGTCGGGAACATAGAGGTCGCATTGT